CATGGCGAATACTTGGCAGCAGGACAAACATGTTGGTGTGATCGTGCGGGCAACGGTGGCCAACTTGAAATGATACTGCCATCTGGTCCAAAGTGGAGTGATAGCTGACTGCTATCTTTGAGCAGGAGCAAAGTTTTTAGTTGAACGATATTCGTTGATCTTGGCTTTTGCTGCCATTCCCGCCGATATGGGGAAACCTCTTTTAACCCCAACGTGCAACGTGCCTGACTTATCTCCAGTTGGTCAGGGTTAAGCAAAAACAGTTTTACTAGCAAACGAGTAGCATCCCCGGAAATTTTGCAACGTGTAATAAATGGTCTTTATCCGTTTGTAGTACACCGAAGAGTCTGTGGCTCGATAAGTCACATCTTTATGTAAGGCGCCTTGATTACCGGTCTGGTGTGACTGGCGACGTGAGACGGTACTGGATGACAAATTTGCCGCCGAGTCAAGGAGAAGCACACGGGATTATATAGACACCCAAAAGCAAACATGGTATTGTCGAATATCAAGTGAACTCAGGCCTATATAACATTCCTTAAGATATTCTCTTCTATATTTTATGAAGGCAGGTAGATTCAAGTTGGCAAATGTCAGGTGGAGAATAAGTCACATCAAAAGTATCTCATTATGCTAAGAATAGTCTCTCGTGTTTTACTAAAATATCAGGCGGGCAGCTTATTCTGCTTCTAGTTTGCTACCTATCTCTAACTGGATTGTTTATATATTGACTAATATGCTAACCTGTGGCCAGTGATTTTCACAAAGTGGTGATCTCGGACATAAACGAGCGTCGAAAATAAAACCAGGGACATCACCCCGCAACTCCAAAAGGGGGGTTTTAAAACAGTGGGAGGCCGCAAATGTGATCCGGCACGCTGGCCAAACTCCCAAAGTGAAGTCAGCCCTTAGTTTGACCCAATGCTTTGCGCCGGGATCAGGAACAACGATGGTTAGAACCAAGCCAAACTAACCGGAGAAGAAATACTCGCCTTGTGCAAATGCAACTGACTACTTGCTACCGCTTGCGGCCGGGGACGAGGAAGTTTGCAAGTTGTAATTATCAGGCACCCCAAGCATCGAGACTTGCGGCAATTACAGTCGGCTGTCTCGCACATCTCGTACCACACTTTTCCGCATTCATGCTTTACACCCACGCTGTCGTGGATGGAGCAAACAACGTCCTCGCAGTGCAGGAAGTAACCAAGCCCTTGCTCCGTATGGGTCGGGGAATGTGATAGGGTTTCGCGAAATAGGTAATCTTTGATCGGGGACTGGTCCGAAACGTAGCTGGGTGGTGGCATGGATGAGACCGAGGTTCAAACGCGTCAGAAGATTGAGAGTTGCGCGTGTGAGTGTATACCTAATGTATGAGTGGTTGGGGCACAAATGTAGATGGTAAACCCAGGTGCCTGTTGGATGCGAGAATATACAGAGCATCTAGACTATGTTGTTCGACCCTCCCTACTCCTCAGCCAGATCCGCGTCAACCCGTGGCGCCAGAGTGTCAACGAGCTCAAGAACCTCCTGATCAAGCCTGCCTGTTCTCTGGAGATACTGGTTGACCGGTTCATCATCAGCCTCCAGCAGCGGAACGAGGGCCCGCTTCCGAAGCTCAGCGACATCGCGCCCCTCACCACCACCAGCCCCGTCGGCTGCCAACAAGGAAACAACATGCGGCCCGCGGAGGGCCTTGATCAGCGCCAGCTGGCTCGACGGATGCAGCCCCGACCCTTGGATCTCCGACACAACGCCCTGGACGGCCGCCTGCAGCCTGGCGAACCGCTGGCGCGCAGGTGTGTTGTGCGTGCCGCCGCCCTTGATAATGGCCGCGCAGCTGCGTGCCGCGCTTTGGATGTGCGTGATGGTCCTCGTCACGACAAGCACGAACTGCACGGCCTCGAGCACCGCCAGCGCCGGGGCTGCGGCGACCTCGGCAATGGCCCAGGCGGCGAACTGGGTAAAGAGGACGCCGTACTCGAGGATGGAGAAGGACGAAAAGATGGCCTTGTAGAAGCCCCACAATAGGCCCGCATTGTACAGATCGTTGGCGATGGAAAAGGCCGACGACCACACGGACGCGCCATTGCCTGCTCCGCCGGCAAAGAGGGACTTGACCCCGTCGACCAGGTCCGCAATGAGCATCTGCTTGGCGGCGTCCAGGTTGCGCATCCACCGCACTATGGGCTCCGTGCCGGGGATGGATAGGAACCACCCGAAGGCGGCGTTGGGGACGCTGTACAGCAGGTCGAGGAGGAGGGTGGCAATGCCGAACAGGCAGGCGGCCTCTGTGAAGGTGATGACCGGTCAGTGGGTTAGGGATGGAGATGAAGGGGAGAATAAAATCAAAACACAGTCAGAAACACGACGAGAAAAAGAATAGAGTGGCGAAAAAGGGGGGGAGAAGAAAGGAGGTGCCTACCATCTTTCGGAATCGGCGGGACGATCGGGTCGTCCCTTGGGGAGACATGGACTGCACTGTGAGAAATGGTGAACTCCGGTTGGAACAGGCACTCGGAGAACTGGGGCTCGTCGTTGGGGACCCACGGCGTGTCGTAAAAGATGGGCAGGGCCTGGACGCGCACCGACATGGCGGAGGAGTTGCCGGGGAACAGGCGGAAGACGCGCGGGTCCTGGCGGGCGCCGCCACTACCGGCGTCGACGCCGAAGCTGAAGAGCACGTTCATGGAGCTCTGGCCGGCCGGCAGCTCGTAGTAGGCCTCGCTGGCGCCGTCGCGCGTCGGCAGCAGGTTGACGAAGTCGCCGTCGGCCTCGCCCTTGCACTGGATGTAGTAGTACTTTGCGAGGAACCGCTTCGGGTCCGTGACGGTCATCACCGGGGCGCTGCCGGGCGGGTCGCGCTGGATGCGGAAGACGGCCGCTGCGCTGCTGTCGGTCGTGGTGCTGAGGACCGTGATCGACGAGTAGTCGATTGAGAGCCAGTGCTTCTTGTCGGGCACCTGCAGCGTGAATCCGTCGCCGGGGAGGGACGAGGTCGCGAGGAGGCCCCGGCCCGGCAGAGGATCGTGGTGGACGGGGTGGCGCGGGGCCAAGTGGACTGCCCTCTCGCCTTCGCGGGCCGTCATGCACTTGATCTCGCCCGTGAGGCCGTACTGGTAGAAAACCGTCGCGCTCTTAGTTTGGCCGCTCCAGCCGTCGAACCCGAACCACTTGTTGGTCGCCCCGAAGGTGCCGAGCTCCTTGATGCTCTTGAACCTGTCGGCCGCGATTCCGTCCACACGGCCTTGCATGATGCCCCAGACAGCGGCGATGATGTTGGTCTCGCCAGCCCGCCGTCCATCGGGGTTGAAGAAGCGCGATCTCGCCGGATCCGAGGTGGAAGGGTTGATGGAAATGGCAGCATTGGTGTCCCAGGCAATCAAGAGCTGGAGCGGAGAGTTCTCGTACTGGTAAAGCACGGCTAGTGTCTTATTGACCCCTTTCCATGGGTCGCTGAAGACGGAGCCGTATTGGTCGATGGAAATGGTCTGCGTGACTGGGTTGATCAAAGGGGTGATCTTGCTGGTCCATTCGACGCCTCCAAACGAAGCAGACTTGATCAGGAGACGCGGTGGCGCCGGACCTTGGTTGAAGACGGCCGACTTTGTGTCCGTAGTCGTGCTCACGGCGAACTGCACTTCTCCGTTGGCAAGAACATAGCCATAGGTGATGACGAGGGCCTTGAGCGTGTTCGGCGCGGGATCCGAGGCATTCAGGGCCGAATAGGCTATGCGGACCTGAGCCGACGACCCGACGTTGTTGGCGAGTGCTTGCACCTGCGCCGTCACGTCCAACGTGTGCCAGAATGCTTTGGCGATGAAGACCTCGTTCTTGTGGGTCGGGGCCACAAACGACGGCAGATGAGACCCGTCGTAGTTGATCGTACCTGTCTCGGACTGCTTGATGGTCGTCGCCTGGATAGCGCTCAGCGACCCGTTGGACAGAATGACGCGCCAGACACACACCAACACCTTGGTCTGGTTCGGAATCGGATCGCCAAACAGAGCAACGGTGGGCGAAATCGTGAACAGGTTGTTGTCGGCCTTTATCGTGTTGGCATCCTTGACGTACATGCCCCTGAGCGTCTTGGTGACATCAGCTGTACCCCAGGTCGCCGACAGAATGTCTAGACTGTACGCTTGAGGTTCTGCCATGGTCATGAAACTTTGCAGGCTAGAATATAGGGACAAGTAGTAGGTAGAAGTGGTAGGAGGGAGAACAAGTGTTGTTTACAGTCTGAGCATGATGAGAGAAAGAGGTGGCCAAAGTCTAGCTAATACTTAATTGGGCCCTGGGGCCTTGGGAAAAAGACAGTCGACGATAAACATCCCTGCCTGACCTTGTGAATACACCGACAGATTAGAGGCCGCCAAAACCACAATGGGAAAGCCGAAGGACGACTGTACATAGGCTAGATCGAGAACCGATAGTTTTCTGCAACAAAGTGACCATTGGTCGCGCTATCCATATGCAGCTTTCAGCTCGACAAAGAGGCGCCACAATATGCCGGCTCATCACTGCTCCCGTTAATGTGAATGGCCATCTTTCTGAAACCCCTGCTCAAACCCACGCCGGGAGTCCGGGGCTGCCGTGCGCTAGTTAACTTCCACGCCGGTTCATTGAGGGGGCATCCACAAGTCCAAGTGATGCGATCACCAGGTTGCCAAGATTGAACCAGGGGATCCAAACCCTTCAACGGCAACGATTATTTGGCAAGGAAAAATGTTTATATCTTCCATCCGATGATCCCATCAATAGGAAACACGCAGTTCCTAGCAATATAGACTCTATCCATCCAACAGAACAACACATACGACCATACCTAGTTGAGAACTCGGGATCCCGTCCGCTCTCCCCTAGATAAACAACTAAGGGCCAGACTAGTAGCTGGGTCGGTGACGACCAGCGAATCCCTGGTGTTGTATGTCTTTTTGGTTTATTTCTCTCCTTTTATTATCAACAAGAACCTCAACCAACGGGCAGCAAAAAGAAATAGAACAGGGCCCAATCGGGACTCGAACCCGAGACCTCGCACATGCTCCCACTTGTTGAAACAAACGGAGGGAGTTCAAGAGAACAACCCGAAGCGCGAATCATACCACTAGACCATTGGGCCTGTTTGGTTGTGTGGTTGTTGATGTTAAAGTCTGGTAGGAGCGTCCATAGGCAGGTCTGGCGCCTGCTGAGTTTGTTGCTGGAAGAGGGGGCTGTGGAGCACCGCAATGTGCAGCTCTACTTTGGAATAGCTTCCTTCTTGGCAAGTTGTCGAAAAATCTGTGCATATGAGGGTCTGGATAATTGCAAGATTGCGCGCGGCGCTACTGTGAATGCCTCCTCATAATGTCTTTCACCCCCCCATGTCTACCAGATGGTTGCCTAATTCCTTCTTTTTGGCACCTGCTCTCTCGGAGTAGATGTCCGATAAATACTGGACCCGCCTGCCTGGAATTCCACAATGACGAACCAGCCGAATCAAAATGTGCAGACTTTGGTTGAACACAGACTGGGGCACGGTGCAACCACTTCTGTGATGTCTTGCCCCGGGGGGAATGACGAAACCTTCTCTTCTTTCTAGGTTCTTGTCAACGACGCCAGATTTGACCTGGAAGATTCGCAGTCCTAGTCCTGTTGGCGACGCAAAATTAATGATGGTTGCGGTATTAATACCCAAAGCCCATAGGCATTTCACTCTAGTTAGGCCTAGAAGTAGTATCAACATGTGGTAAAAATCTTCAAATAACCTTTATCCGCGGCCTGCAGACGCTGGGCCACATCCTTGCCAAGGCCGGCGCCTATGCCGACGAGTACCAGATCTCGGCGCAGGCCGTCGCGGTCTGGGCGCTGTGCGACGACATGCGGCTGCTGAGCTTCCAGGTGCAGGTGGCGAGCAACATGGCCAAGAAGTCGGTCGAGCGGCTGACGGCCTTCTCGGGGTCGCCGTGGCCCGACGACGAGGACTCGCTGCCGCGGCTGGTCGAGCGCGTCGACAAGACCATCGCCTTCCTCGAGCGCGCCGACTTCGCCGCCATCAACTTGCCCGACCCCAGCACCATCTACCTCGTGCTCAAGGACCGCGCCTTCAGCCTCTCCCGTGAGGACTACGTGCTGAAATACGCCATGCCCAACTTCTTCTTCCACGTCCAGACGGCGTACGCTATGCTGCGCATGAAGGGCGTGCAGATTGGCAAGTTTGACTACTTGAACGATATCCTCAAGGGCAACGAGAGAAGTGACGGATGCCACAGTGGTGGTTGATACTTGATAACAGGCACACGTGCTTTTAATCAGGGGACAGATTGCCAATTCTAAAGTTCTTTCCCATTTATTAACATGTAATTATCACTCCCTGGCACACTCCAGCCCTGCCTCAAAAATAATAATCGTTGATGCCGAGAATCCTCGTCTCGTAGGCATGGATCACGTGTCCCGTGTTGATCTCCTGCACCTGTTGACAGGCAACCCAAGTATTAGGTCTAGACTCTGGAGCTTTGATGAGTGGGATATGGCCTGACGCACTTCGTACACTACACTGGCTGTGTCGGTGAGCGGCTCGACCACCGAGTCGATAATTCCCACCGACTCGGAGCCATCGGCGCCTGCGATTTCTCAGACTTGTAATGCCCTAGACTTTCGAGCTCGACTGGACTCGCCCGGTAGACGACTGTCTCTCCAATGTTGTATATTGCCATCGTGCTTTATTTTATTTGGTGTTGTGTGTTTGGAGAGTCTGGAGACAAAGGAGAAAAAATTTCAAAGAACCCGGATTTCCAGTGCTATTTTTGACATGGTGTCTTCACATCAAGTGTTCAAGGGCTGGCCAACAGTAAACGGATCTTGGAATTTGGCCAGTTGGCCCCACTCATTAGACTCCCAAGTAATGATGAAGTGCTGTAACGATGACGGAAGGTAAAGTTGGTTGCCTTCTCTGGATATTCGAATCCATACGCCACCCTGAGGCATAAGTTCAGAGCAAACCTCCGACTACCTCAATCACCCAACTTTTGACCAAGGCAATTACCCCTTCACTTGAGCGAACGAACCCGCCAAATTGGACACCAGGATATCCAGATGCAGGATGAATGCTGCTAGGAACACATGGTGGCAACTGGCTTTCCGCGGAAATAACCCCTTATTCGGCAGACTCTCATTCATGTTCATTGCTCAATACCGATTACCGACACACTTGAGCAAATCCGACCACAACCGACAAGAACCACAAACATCGCTTTGATGCGCGGTGACCACCATCACTGCTCACCCAATCCCGTTCGTGACCGGTTTTGGAGTGCAGTGGTAGGTGCAAACCAAATGCCAAGCCGGGCCACCTCAATGGGAGGATAGTGACGCAACAAAGCACCGGCGCCGGCACAGCCAAGCTGCAGGGCCGGTCGCGGACGTGGACGCTGGTCCCGGCGTCCGTGACAACGGCGGACGGCCACTCGGCCTTTGACGTGCTCGTCGTGGCAGCCGACCACTCGGCGTGCCAGAACATGCACAACGTCCTGCAGGGGTTTGTGGCCGGCCGACCTGGAGACACAGAGCGGGCTGACGCCGGCCCAGGAGGCGTGATTAGCAGAGAATGGATGGGCCCTGAAAGCATGAGCAGTCAAAAGAATGGCCGAGAACAGCAGGGCGAGTCTTGGTAGACGACGGCTGGCGAAATTGCACGTACGTTGGAGTGTCATACGTTGTCGCCCAGGCCGACGGAGACACAGCATATAGAACAGGCTTCCGAAGAATTGGGGCATGGTCATAAACGAAGAGGACCCTGTTTGCTGAGCATGGCGTGATGATTGGGCGCAGTAAGGGCGTCACATGTTTCGCCTTGTTTATTTTGTCTTTAGCCTGTATCGCTGCCACTTCTACGAGTGCTTGGCGTCCCCGGATTCCTACCGTCCTGCACCAGAACCCCCGACCCCTATTCTTCATTTCCGGGTTTTAGTCCAGACTGTGCAAACCGTGTCGATCGCTCACGTGTTTGTTCTACGAGATATGCTGGAAAGCACTTGCCCCTGAGGCAAGGACGTTGCGCCTGTGAATTCCGTAGAGAGGAGGAGGTTAAGGCTCCGGAGGCGAGAGCGGGAGAGAAGCGGTGTACCTACTATAAACGTTCCCAACATCGAGTGGAGGAACTCCCTACCTACTCTGGTAACCTTGCATGCTGTAAAGACATCCCCAACCGCCGCTTGGCATGCTTGCAACGTGTGAGCTTCCTTGCTAGTCCAGACCGAGGTCCGAAATCCTGCAGCTGGGGCTGCAGCCAGGTAATCTCAGGTCCCAAAATAGATCCTCAGCACAATTAAGGTAAGCATATATATATTGCCGCCAGGCCCAGGATGCAGTGGCGCCGGCGAATCGGGACTTTTAATATCGCAATTCATCAAACCGCAAAGCCGCCGCTGGCCAGTCGTGTCAGCCCCTTTCGCCTCACGCACGCCATGGTCTTGGGCCGCTCAGCGGACTATCACAGGACTGGGCCTGTAGCCAGGCGAGAAGCAGGCTTTTGCACCTCGTGACGTAGCATACTGGGATCGAGGGCCGCTGCGAGGTGTCATTGCAATTGAAATAGCACAGTGGGCAATATCAGACTTGGTCCGCGCGAGGAAAGTAAACAAAAATAGTAACATGTCATGTCGTGTCTTGTCCTGCCCTTGCTTGAGTGTCTCCTGATCTATGAGTAATCTTTCATTCAGGAGGGACACCAAAAGTGTATAAAGAGCCGTGTTGCCGTCAATCTAGGCCATTATTCACCTGGCATCTCATCACCATATCGTTCAGACCAATTCCCTCATCAACACAATCAACAGAAAATGCATCTCCCCAGCCTATCCCTCGCTCTCGCAGCCGGGCTCGCCGCGGCGCTGCCGACGCTGCAGGACCTAGGCCCCAACTACCTGGCCGGCGGCCCGTCGGGCCACGACGTGGAGATCGTGGGCCTGGCGTTCGCGGGGTCGGGGTGCCCGGCGGGGTCAGTGTCGGGCCAGCTGTCGACGGACCTGACGACCATCACTCTGCTGTACGCCAGCTTCGTAGCGCAGGCCGGCAAGGACATCCCCGCCAGCAACTACCGTAAGAACTGCCAGCTCAACGTCAAGCTGCGCTACCCGTCCGGCTGGCAGTTCTCCGTCTTCAAGGCCGACTACCGCGGCTACGCCCAGATCCCCAAGGGCGACACCGGGACCTGCAAGGCCACGTACTATTTTTCGGGCGACTCCAAGCAGGCATGTTTTCCTCATCACTTATTATCCCTCTATGTGTGCGCGTGTAACTGCTAACTCAAGAGCGACGAACCAGGTCTCCAGCACGCTGACCATCAAGGGCCCGTACGACGATAACTACCTCAAGACGGACCAGTTCGGCATCGAGAGCACCGTGTGGTCGCCGTGCGGCGTCGAGGGCCTGATCAACATCAACTCCGAGGTCCGGCTGACGCCCCAGGACGCCGTCAAGCCGGCCCTGCTGACGGTAAATTCTCCCGAATCCTTTGAGCTGATCTGGCGGGCCTGTTCTGTTGGGGACGAGGCTTGATGCCTCTTCTTGCCCAAGCTTGCCATTTGTAACTTCTTTTCTTTTTTGGGGGGGCTTGTTTGGATTTTCTATTAACGGCTTTTTTGTCACAGGTGGACTCGACCGATCTCAAATTCACCCAGGTCCATTACCTGCAGTGGCAGACTTGCAAGAAGTAAGTTGGAGACTAAGGAGAGCTAGTTGCGATGGGAAATGGAACAGGGTTGAGAGGAACTCTTTGGTATTGGGTCGCTGGAGGTGCGGCAGGGAAGTGTTGCAGTGTTTGCCTATGTTCATGACAATGTGAAAAACAAACAAATAATATTCTCAGCCTCTCAACCTCACGTGTTTTCCCCTACTGGTAACCTATCTTAACCGAATTTTAAAAGGCTGGCATCCAGATTCATGACAACCAATGGTACTTGTCGGAGTAGCTTAAAGATGCTTGACAACTCCCACCCAACAATGTTCGGAAAAACCACACTCGCCCTCCAGCCCAGCGATGTTGATCACGCCCCGTCGCCCAACCTACACGATCTCAATACTCACCTCGGCCGCGCCCACGGCCAGGGTATCGTTCCTCGCCACAATGAGCTTGACGGTGCCCTT